GGCCCACCCCCCCACTTTGAAAAACGTTCCGCCGGCCCCGACATCTGCCGAAGGTAAGACAACTTCTTGAACATTTCATACAATCAACAACTCCGTACCTGCCTATCCATAAAGATCGAGAAAATCAGAAATCTAGCATTAAAAGACCCTTTGCTGCATCACTTGCCAAGAATAACAACGCAGTACTGTACAGCTGTTTCCCGAAATGGATACTCCCCAACAACACACCTAAGTCCCACTTGAATGTTGTGAACCTCAGTAAATACTCACTCACCACGGATGAACAATTTATACTTGAAAAGGGCTTATCATTTTGCCCTTCACGTCGTCTAGACCCTATCAACCTATGCTCGAACCTCAGCCAATTTATCCGCAAGATAAGACTCAAGGAATATTTTAAGGACACACCGGAACCCACGACCAATTCGACAACCTATAAAACAAAAACTGGCACACAGAAAAATTTGTGGGTACCACCTAAAGGTAGAAACCCATACATCGATAGCTTTGCTAACGCCGCTAAGTCCCACCTCAACTCATTCATTCAGAAATACCTCACTAATCTACAACCAGCTGATAACCTGTCTAAGAATCAACCCACAGCGATAAAGAATCTCCACCGCAACCAGGATATTATCATCAAACCAGCAGACGAAGGCGGGAACATCACTATCATGGATAGAACTGAATACATCACCGAAATTGAAACACAACTATCGAACCAATCTTTCTACAGGTGCCTCTCATCGGATCCTACCTATACCTACAAAAAGGACTGTACTAATATGGTGTCGAAACTAACTAATACTAACATTAAATCCAAGGTAAGGGCTCTCATCTCTGATGAACCCAAAGCAGGTGTCATATACATCTTGCCTAAATTGCATAAACTTCCTAAATTAGTTGGAGAAGCTTTAGTGCACATCAACCAGTCCCAATCCTGTAACGCGGACATGCTCTCTGATCCTACATATATCTACAATCTTGCTAGATCACTCAACACCACACCGCCAGGTAGGCCCATCATATCAGGCAACAGCACTCTCACAGAGAACATATCCGGCTATGTCGACTCTATTCTGAACCCCTTGCTAGTTTGTATCCCCAGCTTCATACAAGACACAACACATTTTCTAAAAAAACTCAACGACATCCCTCCTCTACCCAACCATGCATTGTTAGTCACTTTAGATGCATGCTCATTGTATACCAATATCCCACACGATGAAGGCATTGCGGCGTGTGAAAAATTCATTTCCACCAATGATCCGGCCCAATCATCCCCAGACATATCCAAACTTATCAAATTTATCCTCACCCACAGTAACTTTGTTTTCCATGACAAACACTACCAACAAATAAGTGGCACAGCCATGGGCACCAAGATGGCTCCATGCTACGCTAACATTTTCATGGCCGAACTGGAGGATAGACTCTTAGCGAATTCCAATCCTAAGCCATCATATTACTGTCGATATATAGACGACATATTTTTTATTTGGGAACATGGGATTGATAAACTCAACGAATTTGAACGCTTCGCCAACAACTTCCATCCCCGTATCAAGTTTACTATCAACTCTTCGAGTAGTAACATCTCCTTCCTGGACGTATCTGTCCACTTAAAAAACGGGATTATATCTACATCTGTTCATCATATATATATATATATATATATAGGCCAGCCGTCTCGAAAGACGATGCTATACGCCATGAACGATGGCGTGCCTGGGCAGTGAATTTGGAGATCCTGGGTTGCCCATGCGTCAGAATCCCCCTCTATTTCCATCACTGGTGGGGTCCAAAGGAGTGCAAGGGTGCACTACGTTTGGCACCAGCTAGGACGCAGGAGAGGCTGAATGAATGGACCAGTACATCGGGGTAACTCCCTACTCTTCTCGAAAGATGCACTGGGTTCTTTAAAGTGCACACGAGCCAAATGTGTACACTGGGCCTACGGTTTAAAGTCCTTATCCGAGAAGACTTGTTCCACCTCCGGAACCATAGGCGAGCGTGCCGTTCGAACCAGCGCCGAATGTTATGGCTATAGGTAGCGGCGCCTCCCTTAACCGCTCGGCCATTCAACTCGCCAATAGATATGTCATATGTGATATGATATCATATATGATATCAGATATGTCATCATAAACCCACAGATAACTATCGCTATTTGGATTTCAATAGCTCTCATCACATTTTGCTCAAGAAGTCTCTTATATACAGTCAATGTCTCCGCATTAAACGCATCTGCTCTACCCCCTTTGTATACCAGTCAGAACTTGCCTGACTCACTTCTAAATTCCTAGCCAGCAACTACCCTATATCTCTCATCAAGTCTGCCATTTCTAAAACATCCACTAAGTCTCGTACAGACCTTCTGATGTATACCCCTAAACCTAATAATGATAGAATACCTATGATATTCGACTACAGTCCGTCACAGTCCCAACCTAGAACCATTAGCTAACACACTCAGGAAAGACTTCCTCTCCCTCAAGCAAGACCCCACCATCGAACCCTTATTCTGCAACCCCCCTGTCCTTGCCCGCCGGCAACCCCCCAATCTTAAATCTCTCATCACCTCCTCTAAGCTCCCCACAACGACTCGTGATCATGGTAACACTACACTGTAAAAAAGCTAGATGTCAACTGTGCAAATTCATCAACACAGATCACACATTCTCACCCCCTGGCACTACATACAGCATTTTCTAAGCTATAAACCCATGTAGTAGCCTATATAGCTATTGCATAAACTTACACGTTGTTGTGCTACCATAGAGTTTGGTTAAAGCCTTGATAATTAAAATTACAATAATTGTTTCTTTTCTTAAAGAGCCTTTAGAAGATCCAGAAATAGAATTGGAAACAGTTGATGGTAATGATATTATCTTAACATTAAAGGTGAGTAAGCGTATTTAATTTACAACCCCAATTTTTATCTTGGCATGCTCTCACAATTAATCAAAACAAGGTAGATGTGATTTATTGAGCATTAAATAATTTTAAATGAAGATATTAATGACAGTTATTTATCCTTTAGTATCTTTTTTTATGTAAAAGGTTGTATCAAATGCTCCAGAGCGAATCCAGTGCGATGATATACTTCGATATCAAGTGCGATACCAAAGCAAAGTTGGAAATGAACAGGACATCCTCAACACAACGGACGGTTTGCAAACAGAAGTCAAGATATCGGAATTATCACCAGGATGTGTTTTTTATCACGTCGACTCTAGAGTTGTTAATAACGCAGAAATTACTGGAGATTGGGGAACACCAATATCGGTACAATCAGCACCATCAGGTTAATGTTTTGCTTTAATATTATCCATTTTATAGTCAAGGGGCTAGGAACTAAAATGGTGCACCCCCTGCTTTATACATGTCATGTTTTTTTAGTTACCTTTATGTCTAAGCTTCAAGAAATGCTTTGTTAGTCAAGCGATTTCTGGTTCCCAGTGCCTGTAAACCAACATCAATGATAGGTACCTGTTTTTGTACAGCATTTAAATTTGGTTGGTTAATATGGGGTGGGGGTAACAATAACATGTAAGCAAACAACTTTTTACTAACTAAATATATTTTTTTGTTTGTAATATCAAAGTGTAGAATAATACATTTGTTATCATTTGCTATAAAGGACAATGTAATTTACATTGTTAATTATGTCACATGAGTTCAAAAGATCATCAACCAAAGATCAACACTGAATTTCATTCAAAATATGAACTTGTGCTAATAGATTTTGTATCCCTTTAAAATTGAATTAAAATGGATAAAAGTTAGCTGAAGTAAATTATATACTAAAATACATGCATTAAATTATTCTAACATCTTAGCTCCAGATAGCTCCGAAAATATGTGGGCATCTCTATATTATGCATTCACTATTAAATTTTCATACGAATGAAAAACTTGCTTTAAATAGTAGTTATGATGCTGAAAACTGGCAATGTACCTTAGAGGTGGCTGCTCTGTTATTATTAACTGTTAAATAAATATATTTTCTCAATTTTGATACCTAATTAACTAGTAAGTATGAACTAACAGATGTATGGGTGTGTCCATGTCATGCATTAAGATTGATATGGGGTAGGGGTAACATTATGCCCACAACTCTTACCAACTGAATCACAGGGGGTGAAAGTTCATCAACCAAAAATTAAAATCGAATTTATTATTAAAATATTTTATAACTCGATAATACTTTCTTAGAATTAATTTACAGATAAAAGTTATTTGAAGTAATGCACATATTAAAATGCATATTTAGAATATATATATATATATATATATATATATATATATATGATTATATATTGAGTGTAGATACAAACTGTTGCCATTATAGCAGGCCACAAATCGGTCAATTATTTCTTTCTGTTTTGTACCTAAAAGTGTGGTACAACTTGACAACCAGAATTTTAAGCTTTATAGAAAATAGCTCACAGAAGTGCTAATGCCCCACAAATCAGATTAATTACTTTTGGTAGATTAAACAGAAATTTCATGTATATTCCAGATGGCAACAACTACTCACAAAAGCTACTTGTTTCTTTCTGTTACAAATCATCAATTTTGTAGGAAGGGGATAGCAATGTAGAGGTTAAAATGTATATTAACTTAGCTTAAATAATGATAATAATAAAAATAATAAACATTGTTGTCTTTTAACAGCGCCCTCAATCACCAAAGATTCAAAACTGGAAGGAACGTTTTTATTAATGAAATGAGGCTACCTGTAACAGCACCCAGAATAATTTGAGTTACCATTATCAACTATCAGGAGGAGTCCTCCAAGGAAGTACAACAAAAACTGAAGTTCTTATAGATGATGGACTTGTACCTTGTACGCAGTACACATTTTCAGTTTTTGCGTCGTATATGAATGTTAGCAGCATTACTGATCATATGGAGTTCATGTCTGGTGTTGACTGTAAGATTTTTTTCATTATACGAATGCAAAGAACGTATTATTTGAAACACATTGTTAATATTTTTCTATCTTAGTGTATTTTTTTATTACATTTCTTCCCTTTATAATATATTGTATGTTGTTTCTAAATTATCAAATGCCATTTATTCAATGCTTGAAAATATATTATACACATAATACTATTCACTTTGAAATAAAACACTGATAATCAATTTTAAGAGACGAGTAAACCATTTGTAATTAAGTAAAATAAATTGTTTCAATCTGTGTGTCAGTGGAAGTAAACTATAATATAAAAATACAAATGTGAAAGGCTAAGGTAATTAAAATTCACACACAGTTGAATAATTGATAAATTTCATTAAAAAAAAACTATAAAAGTCAAATAAAAATTGGGTTTTTTTAGGTTAGACGTTAGATTTTAAAGATAGATCAAATACACTATTGGTATTACCAATTTAATTTAAAATGAGAAAATCGTCTCAGAGAATAAATAGATAACCAAAAATTACTTTAAATTATCAAAGAAGATATCTTGAGGTGTACTGTAGCAAATTAAATCCAATTAGAACAAAATATTTGGTGAGCTTGATGCATACCTTACTGGTGCTGCTATTTTTACTACTTCTACTACAAACTACATAATAACAATAATAATTAATAATAATATTAATAACTAATAATAATGCATAATAATAATACTATTATTATTATTATTATTATTATTATTATTATTATTATTATTATTATTATTATTATTATTATTATTATTATTATTATTATTATGGTGCTATATAAGTTTCATGATTGATTGATATCCCCACATATCCTGGAAAACCAACCATTAGTTCCTTAACATCAACGTCTTCATCAATCGCACTGGAATTGACATTATCTGATGATAATCCTTGCACAGTACTAGGATACAATGTGCTTGTATATAGTGATTTACAGAATTTAGAGTTCAATATGGATACCACAGCGACTTCACTGACAGTTAATGAAAATATAATGCTGAATACTATCTACAATGTCCAGGTTTGCAATAGAAACATAAACATATATATAGTACAAATGCATTAATGCATCTAATCAAATAAATGATACTAATAAACAAACATGTCATACGTCATCATAAGGTAATCTTAGAGTATGCTATTACCTGTTTATTTAATACTGGTCAGATGTATGGCAAACAAGCAATACTAATGTAAGTCATGCATATTAAAGCTAAATACTGTGGTAAGTCATGTAAACAATTAAAATGAAAGGGTGATATTGTAATAAGTTGTTTTTTAATTTATTGAAGGATTTTCCCGAGCAAAGGGTTTCTTTAATTTTAAGTTGATAATTATTGTGGGCGAAATTAAGAAGTGAAACGGTCTGAATTGGATGTATTTTTGTATGTAACTGTAAGGTTGAACAATTTTTGAAGACTTGTCCGGAACCAATTACTCATTTGCCTGTGTTCATATGTGTGTTTTTATTTTACAAATATATACAGAATTACACTCTGCGCAAGTAAATTTGTCGACAGCGTGGGCTCGGAGAAGTCGGGACATAGTCTTTTACATTAAAAGAACAGATAAATGATGATTTAAAGCAATACTTTTTAACCATGGAGTTAATTTTTTATTGAAAATAGTTAAATAATTGTACATAACTTAAAATAAGTGTTGCATTTTAGGAGGATACAAAAGGGTGGGCAATAATTTATTAATTTATGTATTATTTTATCAATTACTAAAATTGGATAACAATTTTTCGAAAAAAAATTGTTATGACAGCCTTTTCAAGTGCTTGGTTTTTAAAATACGATCAGTCAGGGTACGTAGAAGTCCACTTTTATGTATTGTGTTTGACATAAAGCTTGAAATTTGTTAGCAAGCATGTATATGTGTTTTTATAACAAACTGAGGTTGTTACTGAGTTATGATCAAGATTATAGAAAAGAATGTCAACGAAGAATGATATTTTGTGGTACTGCACTCCATTTTTTCAAATTGAATCTCATTGATGGGTGCATTTAAATATGTTAGAATCATGTTCGGAATAAAATAAGCAAAAACATCATAAAAAAAAAGGAACAGTTTCATCAGTAAACGGTGGTGTCCCATGAAGAGGTAGCTAAGCCATTGAGTCTCATAGGAGTGATGTCAAACATGCTAACAAAATTCGGGTGAATCTTTTTTTTTTTTTTTTTTTAATTCATTGATAATGATTGATTGCCAACTATTGCCAAAGAAAAGTCAACGTCATGGTCAATAAGTGGGCTGTAAGTGTACGCAGCAAACCTAATTTAAATATCATTTACTATCAATATTCTAGTTAAATGTTGGCTTAAGTATTCACTCTAAGCGTATAACTCAGATGCATAAGAGAAAATGTTTGGCGATTACATTTGGTCTATACCGAACTAGGTATCTGTGGTCCAGCGGTATGGCACTTGCCTTGTTAGCAAGTGGCTGAAAATTAGAATGTCTATAGAGACATTTCTTCATACAAATGACAACCAAAAAATGGAACTTTTATTTGAAGAGTTATGCTTGATACCATTTTAATAATAATATCAAAATAATAATAATAATAATAATAATAATAATAATAATAATAATAATTTGATTGTGCAGTGTTGCACGGCAAACCGAATTTAAATATTTATTATTTACTATGATTTTCTTACAAGCAAGTTTCTAGCGTAAGCGTAAACGTACACAAGCGCAAACAAACATCAATATGAACTTATGATGTACAATTATTATTGCATTATTCCATTACATTATAATTATAAAATAGTGCATTTTCTGTAGAAAACAAATAATTAGATAATAAAAGATAATAAAATCATAGTATATAAAAATACAGATAGCAAAATGTAGTAAAAACAATCTACAAAATAATGGATTTTAACCATAGATCAATATCATTAAAATATTTTAGTTTTAGTATTAAACTATTTTAGTGGATAGTTTATCCATAGTTT